GGCGTACTGGGCCGCAAACGGCCACAGAAAATGGGGGGCAGCCGCATGCATCATGGACGTACGAGCGACGTCCATGACCATGCCAATGCGGTGCTCAGCAATCGCATTTTGCTGTGGAGAGGCCGGAAGCGTGAAGGTCTGCCGGATGCCCTGTGCACGACAGAAGGCTCCCAGACGGGCAGAGGAAAACTCCACGCCTCTGTTCGAGTGCAGATGTAGAACAGGAAAGTCCGAGCCGAAACTCTCTCAGCTGGAGACAAGCTGCGCGGATCCAGTCGATCAACACCTCAGTGACGTCACCCTTGTTGCGCAAGGGGAAGACTGTGGTGTAACGCGAGTAGTCGTCAACCACCAACAGGAAGTAACGCTCGTGCCCCTGTCCACGGACGCAGGCGGGGCCCCACACGTCCATGTGGAGGGTCTGCAGCGGAGCCTCTGTCGGAGGAAACTCGGAGGAGTGAGGGGCGGGGCGCTCTCCCCCCTCGACGCAGGGGACGCAGGTAGGGCTAGGCCCCGGAGGTAGGGGAGGAAGAGACCGAGGGAGACCAGAGACAAGGACACGGGAGGCCATGCCTCGGAGACGAGGCAGGGAGGGGTGACCAAGGCGGTGGTGCCAGAGGAGAGTCTAGTGGGACAGGAGACGACACGAGCAGGGAGCAGACTCAGGACCAGACTTGGACGCTGTAGCAAACACCTTACTCGACGCAGCTACCTGGCCAGACTCAGCAGCCGGAGGAGACTCAGTAGTAAGGATGTACAGGCTCGACCCTAGCCGACGAGTGAACGTGGCCAAGTGTCGGCCTGTCCGAGCACACGTGCAGTGGGTCACTCGCTGACTCGCAAGAGTGAACTGGTCAACTCCCCTATCTTGTAGGTCTGCTCCACTCACCAAGTTCATAGAGAAGGAGGGGAGGTAGAGACTTGACAGGGTGCCAGAGGGGGCTGCCGGGCACGGTAAGACAGTCGAGAAGCTAGCTAGGATAGTACCCCTAGAGGGGTCTGCCAGGGATTCTGCAACTCGCTGACTGAGCGGCGTAAGAGTGGTGCGGTCTTGAAGGAAGAAGCGGGACGCACCTGAATCAAGGGTGAAGGTGTGGAAGGCCTGAGCCGACGTAGTACCTGAGAGAGCAGACTCACCAGCACCTGGGGCAGCAGACGCACTGGCACCTAGGACAGCAGACGCAGTGGCACCTGGGGCAGCAGACGCACTAGCACCTAGAGCAGCAGCCTCACCAGCACCTAGAGTAGTGGCCTCAATGCCCGGGTCAGGCGATACACACAGGTAACAGTCACCCTCAACACTAGTAGTCACAGAATACATGGCAGCAAGGATAGCATCATAGTCAAGATCAAAGACGGCTACCCCCGCCCTAGACACATCTCCCCAGCGAGGGATCTCTGACGCCTCAGGGAACTGGCGACGCCACGCGTCCGTCAGGCGACCAAAGCAGCGCTGGGGGGAGTGCCGGCCCTCGCACTGCTCACCAGCTCGGTCACCGGTATGGAGGACGTAAGTGCAGGGACCAAAACCCCCACCGCGCTAGCGCGTAGTGTACCACTCACGAAGCTGCTGAGGGGACAGGGTCACACCACTCTGCTGCTGCTGGCGCGGACCACCACCTGAGCCACTCCCTGCGCAGACTCGCGACCCGCTCCACCACCGCCGCCACCGCCGCCGCCGCCTCCGCCGCCTCCTCCACTTCCGCCTCCTCCGCCACCTCCGCCGCCTCCGCTCCCTCCGCCACCACCGCCGCCTCCGCCGCCTCCACTGCTGCCGCCGCCGCCGCCACCCCCGGCACCGCTCCCACCACCACCCCCACTCCCTCCACTGCCTCCACCACCACCTCCACCGCCCCCGCCAGCCCCTCCAGCGCCCTTGCCCCCCTTGCCCTTGCCGGTGCGGCGTCTCCCGCTCGGGGCAGACGCAGCGCCGACCGACTCGAAACCAACGAGGTCGGCCGCAGCAGCAGAGGCAACAGAGGGCAAGAGGGGGGAGGGAGAACACCCCTCAAAGAAGGGGGTGCGAGGGTCACCACGAGAGGCTCCTACAGCGACTATACTCTTCTCTATCGCTAGGAGGGCCTTCTCGAGGAGGTCAACGGTGAGAGTGGTGGGGCAAACTGAGAGGAAGTGGTCCCTGACTACGCAGAGAGAGTCAGGGAGCCGGGTGACTATGTAGTAGAGGGTGATGTACATGGGGGGGGGGGGTTCTTGGCGCAGAACTCAGTGGGAAGCGCAGCGCGGTAGCGAGTGTCACTAGTGTGGAGGTACATAATAAGGTCAGCAACTGTGGGAAAGGCAACAAGGTCAGGGAAGAGGTACGGTAGCATGAGGCGGCTCAGTGCAGCAGTGGCAGGAGAAGAGTAGCGTGCAACTACAGCGTCGTACAACGTCTGAGCACTCTTGTACTAGCTAAAGTGTGCACGCTCAGTGGTCGGTAAGTGGCGGCGCACAGCAAGGCGAGCAGCAGCATCACGCGTGGCCCACTGTGAGCGAACAGTGGCGTCAGCATCAGCAGCAGGGGCAGGAGAGGCACCAGAAGTGAGGTCAAATAGATAGAGACCGTCTGTCCTATCGCACTGTAGGAAAAGCTGCAGATCATCTACCCAGACCTCAAAGTCAACTGCCCGACCCTCAATGTCAAAGGTGAGAACACTGGGGGAGGCCATGACAGCAGTAGACAGGCAGTGAGTACAGTGGGGCAGGGCAGTGCAGTGGTAGAGGCGCTGCTCTTACCAGGCAAGTGGGGCGGTCCCGGGCAGGCCGACAGGCGGCAGCGCCTCGGTTGCGGTGCAGCTCGGCGGCTCGGCGGCTCGGCTGCTGGGCGGCTCGGCGGTCGGGCGGCTCGGCTGCAGGGAGGCTCGGCGGTCGGGTGGCTCAGCTGCAGGGCGGCTCGGCTGCTCGGCGGCTCGGCTGCTCGGCGGCTCGGCTGCTCCGCGGCTCGGCTGCTCGGCGGCTGGGCGGCTCGGCGGCTCTGGCGCTGGGCGGCTGAGTGGCGACGGGGCCGCGGAAGGGCGGCGACTGGGCCGCTGAAAGGGCGGCGACGGGCCGCTAAAAGGGCGGCGACTGGCCGCTAAAAGGGCGGCGACGGGGCTGCGGAACGGTGGCAACGGGGCCGCTGAAGGGCGGCGACGGGGCCGCGGAAGGGCGGCGACGGGGCCGCTGAAAGGGCGGGCGGCGACGGGGCCGCTGAAAGGGCGGCGACGGGGCCGTGGAAGGGCGGCGTCGGGGCCGTGGAGGGGCAGCGACGGGGCCGCGGAAGGGCGGCGTCGGGGCTGCGGAAGGGCGGCGACGGGGCCGCTGCAAGGGCGGGCGGCGAGGCCGTGGAAGGGCGGCGACGGGGCCGCTGAAAGGGCGGCGACGGGGCCGCGGAAAGGGGCCGCGAGGGCGGTGCGAAGAGGGCCGCAAGGGCGGCGCGACGGGGTCGTGAGGACGGCGCGACGGAGCCACTGGGGGCCGTGAGGGAGGCCGCTAGAGGCAACGAAGGGGAGTCACACGAAGCGCGACTCGGGCAGGGGCCAAGCGCGCTCCGGGCAGGAAAAAAAAAGGTCGTTGGGCCCTAGGAACAGTTCCCATGGGGGAACCTCCTCTATACCATGTGAAGATTAGAATGAGAATGATTGAACTATGAAACAGTTGGGTACAAGTACTAACCCTAATTGGGTTGTACCCCTTATGGGCTACCCCACTACAGCCTACACAGATGTATAAGCTAAAATGTTCTGACACGTTGTTACTGCAACTGGCGCTGCTGCCGCTCGCTGCCTGTCCTCCTCTTCGAAGTCACGTGTGAGCACATCCAGCGGATTGCTCATCGCCTGACTGTTGCCCTCGCCTTCATCCACAGGCGACTCCTGACGCGCTTCACCTCGCGTCTGGCGTAGCTCGGCGTTTTCCTCTCGCAGTGTTGTCACTTCCGCCATTAATGCCTTCATGCTCTCCTGCATTTCTGCCACTTGCGCCATCATCCTGTTGACCGCCTCTTGATCCATGTGCCTAGCGCTACGTCTGGTGGGCAATCGGGTCTCCGTGGCCTTCAGGCAAGTGAAAACACGAACTATCGGAGTCGGGCAGGATTGAATTAACAATCCCTGCAGCCAACCGTCGTGTAGTCACTAAACCAGCCGCACCCTATGCCACCGAACTACCCTCGGAAAAGCGGGGTGAACTAGGAAAGTAGCTCTGATACCAGGTGTTATGAGTTGTAAAAGAGTGCGCTAGTAAACGAATAACGAGGCTGTGACTGAATCAACTGCGAATACAATGAGTGCACAGACTAATGTAGGTCTGGTCTAGCTAGGAGGAAACCTTGGACGAGCGAGGTTGGGTGCAGGTTTGGCGATGGGAATGCCGAAGGCGACGCGAGGAGCCTCGGCAGCGTTGAAATCGGCCGAACGTGCGAACTCCGAAAATCGGGTTGTACGCGAAGCAGTCAACCCCGATAAGGAATTCGGGAAAATTCTTTACATGGTCAGTCCAGGTAGTGTGAGCCAACAAGGATAGTGACCTACCACGTGGTCGTTGCACAGTGCAACGCGGGAGAGCATGTTGGTGAAAGAACGGCAACTAGTATTGTATAAAGCGGCGTCGTTGGTGAATGCTTTGTTTATATTCCGAACCTGGCTTATGACGCGAATAGCCTGCCACATTTTATGTCAGTCGTACACACGGTAACGACGTTTCGCTCTCTTGAGTCAGTTCGCACGGTAACAGATGTTGAAATGTGGTTCATTTCGAATCTAGTACTTCCGCATGAAAGCTGGAGCAGCCTGACCCAAGTTCAGGCCTCGATCCAGACTCCTGAGGGAAAGAGAATCCTAGCTGCTGTCTTCGCTATCCGCGTCCTCTTCGCGTCAATTCTGCGGGCTCGCGCGCCTAGTGCCTCCAGCAGCGGGAGCTCGTTCGTCCTTGGCCGCCAAAAGGACAGCTTCTAACAGATTCTCCTAAACTTAGATTAATTGTGATTAGGCGCGGCGCGCCAGCAGCGGGACGCAGCGGCCATGGATGACGATTTCGATGATGGAGATTATTACGTCAAGCCGCGCATGCGCCTCGCATCTGAGCCGTTCGTTTCGCCAGAAGACCAGCTCGATCCAGACGCCTCGGTCTCTCGCCCCGTTCTCCTCATCCTCTGCGGATTCGCCGCCGCATTTCTAGCGGCGGGAATCATGACGTCAGGATTCCTCCAGTTCGCGCTCATCTGGATCGCGCTCGCCCTCGTTATAGGCCCTCTCGCTCCTATCACACAGACAGGTGGAGACTGCCGAGTTGGTGTCGGTCCCCCGTTAGAAGAACACCATCACGCCGAGGAGCAACCAGCAGACGAACCATCCCCAGCCTCTCGTTACAAGAACACGGTCGCTCGCGAGCCGCAGGAAGCTGAGCTGGCGGATCTCCCCGTCCAACGCGCCGCAGACGGCGGCGCCGCCAACGGCGGGAGCGCCGCCAGCGCCGCCGCGAGCGAAGGCGTCGACACGAGTGAGTGGACGCGCGAGGAGTGGGACCAGCTGAAGAAGCTTCTCGTGAAGCTTCCTCGCGGGACGACGCAGCGATGGGAGAAGGTAGCAAAAGGCGTGGGGTCCGGGCGGCGCGCCGTGGACGACGTGATCCGATCCGCCAAGGCCGTCGCGCTGCAGAAGCCGTCGGATCGCGACGCGTACGCCGCGTTCCTGTCGCAGCGCAAGCAACACAAGGGCAGCAGCGCGGGCGCGGGGGGGGCGGGGGGAGCCGAACCCGCGCCCACAAGCAGATGGGAGGAGGAAGGGATCGCCCCAGGGGGCGCGGCAGAGGCAGAGGGCAAGGGTGGTGGTAACGCGGTAACCACGTGGACGGAGGCGCAGGACCGCGCGCTGGTGCAGGCGCTGAAGGAGTTCCCCAAGGACACGCCCCTGCGGTGGGACCGCGTGGCCAGTGCTGTGCCGGGGCAGACCAAGCAGCGGTGCTTCAAGCGCTTCTCTGAGCTGAGAGACAAGTTCCGCTCCAAGGGGGGTGACCTCGCAGGTGCGTGGGGTGCGAATCTGCAGGTAGGTTGCTTTTGAGAATTCTCACAAGCAGCGCTGCTTCAATCGGCTCGCTGAGCTGCAAGAAACATTCCACTCCAAGGGGAACGACCTCGCAGGTACATGGGTGGGTGGGTGGGGCCTGGCAGGTGGGGTGTAACGTTCCCATCTACTCTGGTCTTTTTTCACACGTGCTTTGTACCCTTGTATGTATCTCACATTGTCGCACCCACGCGCAGACTGATGCCAGCGTTGGAGTTCAAGTGGGCACAATCTCCTCGTCGCACTGCCTGCCCGCAAGGGACACATACCGTAATCCCCCGTATAGGCAGCCCCGGGTGTTGTGTTAAAACGCTTGAAAAAATAAAAGGGGGCGTTGTATTAAAGGATGTAATGTATAGCACCCGTGTGTTATATTGACGAACGCGTTACTGAACTCTGATTCAATGCAGTGTACTTCAGTGAACAAATCCATGTAACTCATTGTTCTTGGCGCGCTTATTTGACGCAGGGAACCTCACTTTCAGCGCGACTCGTTGCATGAAAACGACTGGAGCGCGAACTAGTCTGCGACGTGCATCCCAACACACCCACGAACAAGTGAATTCACACCCTTTGCACTGCGGGAGTCCCTCTCTCGACACATTGAAAAGCAGGAGCTCGCGGCAGTCACAGACCACAGTAGTCTAGCAACGATGACTGGTACGAGGCCAGCACGCAAAAAGGCAGCCCGCGAAGCGAACGTAGAGCATGATGCAACGGGGGCCCCTTCATCTCCTGTCTGGTTTCGTCGCGGTGGGGTTCCTGTCGACGAGGAGGATGACCCCTTCGCTGATGATGACGACTTAGACAAGGAAGGCACGAGCGGAGAAGTCTAGGGTGCAAGGGGGGATGAGATGAGAGCCTGTAGGATGCATGAGTAACGGGGCTGATGCGGATGGTTTCTGTGTAATATTTGTAGTGAAACTCACACACAACCATGTGTTTTTACTTGCTAAATCACAAGTACAAAGCCCGGGGGGGGGGGGGGGGGGGGGTGCTCTCCCGGAACTAGGTAAAGGCGGGTATAGTATTGCGGGATCCCCCAATAAACCCCTCTACCCGCATAAGCCACCCATGGGGGCATTAATTCGGCGGGCTTTATATACGGGGGATTACGGTACGTACAAGTGAACTGTCAGCCTGCCGGCCAGCCTTATTGGCAGTCCCTCCCCTCATTGCCATCCACCACCTCCCTCGTGTTGGTATCATCCCCATGCCCTGTTAACATCCCAACGTCTTTTTGCCATCCCGAAGTAGGTATTCCTAAAAGATGTATGACACCAAATTGCATGATTCAGCATGGCCGTCCGAGTTATCCCTTGGGTTCAGTGCATCCCCATGTTTGTTTGTAGGCGGTCAGTTACCTTTCTCCACCAGCTGGCACAATAAGCTTGCCGGCTCTTCTGCTTCTGTGTGCATGAACCGCTGCTGCCTCTCAGCGCACCTCACCGCTTCCGTTACTCCCTGGCAGATTTTGCACCACCTCCTGTGCTGCAGGTGCAATGAGCCATTGCAATTCGCGAACCGTGCTGGCTGGTACGGTAATTGATTGCTGTATTATTATAGAAATAACGGGTCTCTGTGCTACGGTATCTGCTGGAACTGCTGCCAACCAGGCATAGGCTTATTGGTAATACCGATGCGCGACACGGCATTCATCACTGCAGCAACAGCTTAGGCTGCGTTGTGTCCCTCCAGAAGAGCAGAGCACACCACGGTAGCTACAATGGGTGACCGCCAAGGGCGAGAGAGTCACGAGTCACAAGACCTCAATCTGCAGTGCAGCACTGGTTCAGGCAGATGGCGTGCAGGAGGGAGCAGGGCGTGGTTGCATTGCAGGGGCGGTTGCCAGAGGCGGGTGCACGAGTGGCTATCTGTTGTGTGCTTGAGTGTAGCTCTCCGCGTTGTAGAAGCGATGGCTGCCAGCCAGGAAAGGAGTGTCGGTCGGGGTTGGGAGGAGGACAGGGGAAGCGGAGGGGCAGGTGAGAGGTGCACGGAGGACGCATGAGCAGCAGAGGCGAAACATGGGAAAATAGGAGCAAGACTGATCGCCCTGCATGCATGGAGAGTGCCGATACAGGGGAAGGGCGAGGTGCTGGGAGGTGAAGAGTGAGAGCGGCAGGGTTGTTTGTAGCAATTGCCACTTCATAGCACCAACCTCAGGCACGACACACACTCACATCCAGCCAATGCCAGCCAGCACGTGCAGGACGCAACACTCACTCACCTCAACCACGCGCCGTGCATGAACGCTCCCCCTACGGCAGCGGCAAAGAGGCGATCCCTCAGCTGCGGCTTGTGGCGCAGCGATATGCGGACTGGCAGGACGGACAGGGCGGGCAGGGCGGCATGGGTAGGTGAGGGATGGCATGGGAGTGCAGAGGGATGGGATACGGTGGGAGAGAGGGAGGAGGAACTGCAGACATAGGAGGGGAGACGGTCAGACCCTGACCAATGGGGAGCAAAGAGCCGTACGCGGGCGATATGAGGTTCCACCGGATGCAAAAGAGCAATCAGCATGACGAAAGGGGGCCACGCGAAATGAGTGTGTTTTTGAGACGTCTCAAAAACGCACTCATTTCACGTGGCCCTTCAATCAGCATGACGAAAGGGGGCGATGGGCCAGCAGTAAAGCGAGGTGAGAGGGGGCGAGGGCATGGGGGGAGGGGCTGATTGAACGACACTAGTAAGCAGTAATAGTAATGGTGCGTCGACGAGGAGTGAGAGGGAAGCACGGGGATAGATGCGAGAGGGGGGCAGTGAGGGATGGAGATCGGTACTGAGGGGTAGGAGCGGTGCATAGAGGAGCGGCGTGAGCAGCCAGAAGTCGGGCGCCTTGGAGAATCGGCGCGCGGGGCGAATCGCCTCCGCCCTGATGGCGCACGCGATGAGGGGGGGGGCATGATGGGGGGATGGGGAGATGGGGGGGATCGGGAGATGGGGGGGATCGGAGGATGAGGGGACGAGGGATCGAGATGGCGGGGTGAAGGGGTGACGGGGCGGGGACACGGTAAGGCCGGAGAAAACGGGCTCTTCCTTGAATTGAACTAGGAACTAGTCGGAGGCTACATCGCAGCGCCCGATCGTGTTGACTTTTGAGTCGACTCAAAAGTTGAACTAGGAACTAGTAGTTGCGGGATATATCACAACGCACGATCGTGCGCTGATCATAAGATTCTGCTGTTCGCAGTGGATCGCGAAGCAAACCGTCATTACAGCCTCTATCAGCCGTCACTCAACCGTCGGTCAAGCGTCAGTCAACCGTCCGTCAATCGTCAGTCAACGGTCAGTCACACTGGCCTTCGTCTGAGAAGAGAACTCACGGAAGCGAGGTGGGAGAGGCGATGGAGGTGGGCGGATCGGAAGCAGCGGCCGGCGCCGCCTCTGACATCGCGGTTCGCGACTCACACGCTGAACGCCCAACTTATCGCCGCCCAACACTTATTTCTAGTCCTGTCTGGCGACTCGACTGCTGCCTCCGCCAGAGCCTGGGATGGAATGGTGGTTGTCAACAAGAGGAGGTTGTGATGGATGGAAAACTACGCGCTGTAGGAGGTTTCGCGCAAAGGACGGCTCTTTGTGACTGGTTTTCCGATATAGTAACGAGGAAACATCAATGTTTAAAAACCATTTTATACTTGTTCTAAAAGGCTGACGTTTTCATTCGCGAAACAAAATTCTTGGGATAACGTAAGCAACTCAAAACATTATTGCCAGAATGTTCATGTTTCAGAAGGTTGACGTCGTTGTTATACAAGTAATGTTAATGTCGTCGCCTTAAAATAATATAAACCCCTATCAAATGACAAGTCGTGCGGTGTATAGGGTTGATGCTCTCAGAGTTGGTGGAATTGTTGATATAACCGGGAACCGTAGTGGATAGGATAAGGCTTGCTAAGTTGTGAGAAGAAAATGAAGTCTTATAATGACCTTGTTAGTAATAGTTGAAAGAGAACAAGATGAAGGATATATATAGCAACATAGCTAGCTATTTACTATAAGGGGTACATTCCCTTATTAACTGTATTGCATTGCTATAGTAACCGCGACTATTGTTCTTCTTGACTGGTACCATGTTGCATCATGTAACCTCCAAATATAGTTACTGGGCGGTCAACCATCGCAACCGTTGACCACCTGCGACTGTTGACCTTCGAGTGACTCTCGAGCTGCCGCGAGCTTAAAGCTCGCATCTCATATTTCCAACCGTTTAATACTTGGTTGGGTTTGCCCGACTGTGATAGGGTAACGAAAACGAAATATTTAACGAGTGGGCGAAAAAATCACAGCGAACTACCAAAATAGTCGAGGCCAAAACAAACCAGGGTGGGTTGGTTTGGGTGAAAAACGAGCCAAGGGGGACAGGTTCGGTCCCCCCTTCTCTCAACGTTGAGTTTCAGAGTCTCCTATGTTTGGAAGTTGTAAACGCTTGGTGTGCATGGGAAGTGTGCGACAACCAACTTTCCCAAACCACCCCTTGCTTTGGTGTGCTTTGCGACAAACTTTTCTGTTACCAAATTCCAACGTTTAACACTTGGTTGGATAGCAGAAATATGAGGCGCAAGCTTTAACGCGCTACTGGTACAGGTGTTTGTCAAACTATCTTTCTAGCATCGCAACGTCGCACGCGCCTATGCCAACAACGGTCGCAGCTTTGCAATTCCCGAGGACGAGGCAGCAGCAGCAGCGCTCGACCGCGACCCCACCGACGAACATTCCGACGTTCCGCCTCGCCCGCGCGACGACGACGATGACGATGATGACGACAACACCCCCACACTAGGACCATCGCGCCGTCAAATCGAGCCCAGCACTTCCGCAACTGCTCACGAAAGTGATGACGATGATGTGGTAGAAGTCACCACAATTGACACCACCAATGTGTCTGGCCTACAGCTTCTCGGCCTACACACGTCTGTCACTACACTTACACGGCCGTCGAGCCCAAGAACCTGTCAGAACATATATAGCTTATACTTTTGTGTAGGCTATAGTGGGGTATCCCATAGGGGTTACAACCCAATTAGGGTTAGTACTTGTACCCAGTTCATTCATAGTTCATTCATTCTCGTTCATACTTTCTCATGGTATCGAGCAGGTTCCCTCGTGGGAAGTGTTCCTAGGGCCCACCAACTTTTGTTTTTTTCTGCCCGGGGCGCGTCCTGCCCCCTGCCCGAAGCGAGCCTACCCTAGCGACCCGTCGCCCTTAGCGGCCCGTCGCCCTAGCGGCCCTTCGCCCTAGTGGCCCGTCGCCCTAACGGCCCTTAGCGGCCCGTCGCCCTAGCGGCCTGTCGCCCTAGCGCCGCCCTAGCCGCCGCCCGTCGCCGCCCTTTCCGTAGCGGCCCGCCGCCGCCCTAAGGCCGCCCGTCGCCGCCCTTTCCGAAGCGGCCCGCCGCCGCCCTAAGGCCGCCCGTCGCCGCCCTTTCCGCAGCGGCCCGCCGCCGCCCTAAGGCGGCCCGTTGCCGCCCTTCTCCCTGCGGCCCCATCACCGCCCTACTAGCGGCCCGCCGCCGCCCATCTCTGTTGCGGCCTCGCCGCCCGTCTCTGCTGCGGCCTCGCCGCCCTCACCTGCGGCCTCGCCACCTTCTCCTGCGGCCTCGTCGCCTCTCACCTGCTGCAGCGCCGCCCGCCACCACGACTGCCCGACCCATCCCACCTAGCCGAGCAGCCGACCGCCGCGCCGCCCTGCAGCAGCACCGCCGAGCCGCCCGGGCACCGGAGCAGCCGGACAACCGAGCTGCCGAGCCGCCCAGCAGCCGAGCCGCCGAGCCGCCCAGCAGCCGAGCCGCCTTGCAGCCGAGCCGCCGAGCCGCCCAGCAGCCGAGCCGCCCTACACCCGAGCCGCCGAGCCGCCCAGCAGCCGAGCCGCCCAGCAGCCGAGCCGCCCTACAGCCGAGCCGCCGAGCCGCCTAGTAGCCGAGCCGCCCTACTTCCGAGCTGCCCAGTCTGGTGAGCACAACTCCTCTTTCACTGCACTGCCCTCACCCTACTGTCTGCACTGCTAGTCTACTGTTGTCATGGCTACCCCTAGTGTCCTCGCTTTTGACGCTGAGGGTCGGGCCATTGACTCTGAGGTCTGGGTAGATGACCTGCAGCTGTTCTTAAAGTGCGATAGGGCAGACGGCCTCTCTCTCTTTGACCTTACCTCTGGCGCTTCCCCTGCCCCTGCTGCTGATGCTGACGCCACTGTTCGTTCCCAGTGGGCCACGCGCGACGCTGCTGCACGTCTTGCTGTGCGTCGCCACCTCCCTACCTCCGAGCGTGCACACTTTAGTCAGTACAAGAGTGCTCAGACCTTGTACGACGCTGTAGTTGCATGCTACTCCTCCCCTACCACTGCTGCACTGAGCCGTCTCATGCTGCCGTACCTCTTCCCTGACCTTGCTGCCTTTCCCAGAGTAGCTGACCTCATTACGCACCTCCGCACTAGTGACACTCTCTACCGCGCTGCGCTTCCTGCTGACTTCTGCGCCAAGAACCCCCCCCCCATGTACATCAACCTCTACTTCATAGTCACCCGACTCCTTGACTCCCTAAGAGTGGTCAGGGACCACTTCCTCGCAGTGTGCCCCACCACTCTCACCATTGACCTCCTCGAGAAGTCCCTCCTAGCGGCGGAGAAGAGAATAGTCGCTGTAGGAGCTTCTCGTGGTGACCCCCGCACCCTTGTCTTTGAGGGGTGTTCTCCCTCCCCCCTCTTGCCCTCTGTCGCTTCTACTGCTGCGGCCGACCTCGTTGGTTTTGAGTCGGTCGGCGCTGCATCTGCCCCTTCAGGGAAGCGCCACACAGGCAGGGGCAAGGGGGGCAAGGGCGTTGGAGGAGCTGGCGGGGGCGGTGGAGGTGGCGGTGGAGGCGTTGGAGGGAGTGGGGGTGGTGGAGGGAGTGGTGGAAGGGGTGGGGGTACTGGTGGCAGCAGTGGGGGCGGAGGCGGCGGCGGTGGCGGAGGGAGCGGAGGAGGCGGTGGTAGCGGAGACGGCGGTGGTGGTGGAGGCGGCGGTGGTGGCTGAGGCGGCGGAGGCGGCGGAGGCGGCGGAGGTGGCGGTGGAGCTGGTCGCGGGTCTACGCAGAGGAGTGGCTCCGGTGGTGGTCCGCGCCAGCAGCAGCAGCGTGGTCGTGAGACCCTGTCCCCTCAGCAGCTCCGTGAGTGGTACACTGCACGCCAGCGGGGTGGGGGTTTTGGTCCGTGCACCTACGTCCTGCGCACCGGTGACCGTGCGGGTGAGCAGTGTGGGGGTGCGCACCCCACCCAACGCTGCTTTGGCCGTCTGACGGACGCGTGGCGTCACCAGTTCCCTGAGGCCACCGAGAACCCTCGCTGGGGCGAGCTGTCTAGGGCGGGAGTTGCCCTCTATGAACTTGATTTTGATGCTATTCTGTCTGCCATGTATTCTGTGACTATTAGTGATGAGTGTGAGAGGACGTCCCCGTTATAATATTTTCTCACTATTATATTTTTCTGTTATCCTATTCTCCCTTTTCTCCTCTTTATTTTGGTCTTTATCTCATCTCAATCGGCCTACTATTCTATTTTCTAGAGCCTTCTATTTATTTCTCTTATTTCCTACTTTTCCCACCGACATACCTATTATACGGCACCGACAGCGCCGACAGTGGTGTATACGGTGTAATTTGGGCGTAATCCCAAGTGCCAATAGACTTGCGTGCTTATGCGCACTTGTGATTGTAGTATCGGGAAGGGTGTGTTCCCGAAGGTTCGTTTTATCTCGTTTATCCTTGTACTTTCCGAGTATAAATAGGCCTTGTATTCAGTTTTAGTGACAAGTTTCGATTGAGAATTCGATCCTGTGACACTTTGTAATCAGAGCCGTTCTCACTCGACAACTCTCGGCTAAGCAGCGGTCGCGGAAAAAATCGCCTCGAAAAACCGCCGGGGGCGACCAATTCGACGCCGATTTCTGGTAAGTACCAAGTCCGCGCTTTTCGAATTAACCCCCTCGCGTGGTTTTTGAACAGGATGGGTTCGCCGGCGACCAACGACGTTACGCAGAAGCTCTTCGCGCAAATCGCCAAGATGGAAGCGGAGATGCGAGCGACGACTGAACGGTCGCGATTGGAGAACGAGCAGATGCGAAACGAACTGCAGCGCGTTACGCGGCTCCTCTCGACTATGAACATTCCTGCTTCAACGACTTCGCAGCAGTCGCAGCGTCAGTTCGAGGTTCCGAAACTTCGCTCGCCGGAATCGTTCGACCCTAGCGATCGAAAATCCGACGTAAGGCGGTGGCTCGCGACGATGGAAATTTATTTCGCGGCGATCGTGTCAGAACCTCGAACCGTCCACAGCAGCCACAGCAGCAGCAGCGCTCTCGCACCGTCCCCGCCCCTCAGCAGCTCCGTGAGTGGTACTCGCAGCGTCAGCGTGGTGGTGCGCTTGGTCCTTGCCCCTACGTTCTCCGCACCGGTGACCGTGCAGGGGAGAGGTGTGGAGGCGCCCACACTGCCCGCCGCTGCTTTGGCCGCCTGACTGACGCCTGGCGTCAGCAGTTTCCGGAGGCAGCTGAGATCCCCCGCTGGGGAGAGCTGTCTAGGGCTGGTGTAGCTATTTATGATCTTGATTTTGATGCTATTCTCTCTGCTATGTATGCTGCGATTGGTAGTGATGAGGATGACTGTTACCGGTGTTTCCCGCCCGACCCGGGCATTGGTACTGCCGCGTCAGGTACTAGTGAGGCTGCTGCTCTAGGTGCCAGTGCGTCTGTGCTCTCCGGTGCTGGTGAGTCTGCCCTCTCAGGTACTGTGTCGGCTTCGGCCTCTCACACCTTCACCCTTGACTCTGGAGCGTCTCGCTCCTTCTTTCGGGACCACACCACTCTCACGCCGCTGAGTCGGCCGGTTGCGGTGTCCCTGGCTGACCCCTCTGGGGGGCCTGTCCTGTCTCGCTTCTCCACTGTCCTCCCGTGTCCGGCGGCCCCCTCTGGCACCCTGACTGGTCTTTACCTCCCCTCGTTCTCGACGAACTTGGTGAGTGGTGCTGACCTCCAGGATGCGGGTGTCCACCAGTTCACCCCTGCTCGTCAGCGGGTGACCCACTGCACGGAGGCGGATACAGGTCGCCACCTGGCTACGTTTACACGTCGGCCAGGGTCGAGCCTGTACACTCTGACCACTGCTTCTCCTCCAGGTGCTGAGTCTGGTAGGGTCACGTCGTCTGGTCAGGTGTTTGCTGCAGCGTCCAGGTCTGGTCCTGAGTCTGCCCCCTGCTCGTGCCGTCGTCTGTCTCACGAGACCCTCCTCTGGCACCACCGCCTTGGCCACCCCTCTCTGCTTCGGCTCAGAGGCATGGCCTCACGAGTCCTTGTGTCTGGTCTTCCCCGGTCTCTCCCTCCCCTCCCTCCGGGCCCTGGCCCCACCTGTGTCCCCTGTGTCGAGGGGCGCCAGCGTGCTGCCCCTCACTCCTCCCAGTTTCCTCCGACAGAGGCCCCGTTGCAGACGCTTCACATGGATGTGTGGGGCCCAGCCCGCGTCCGTGGACAGGGTCAGGAGCGCTACTTCCTGCTGGTGGTTGACGACTACTCGCGTTACACCACAGTCTTCCCCTTGCGCAGCAAGGGTGAGGTCACTGCGGTGTTGATCGACTGGATCCGCGCAGCTCGTCTCCAGCTTCGGAGGAGCTTTGGCTCTGACTTCCCTGTTTTGCGTCTGCACTCGGACAGAGGCGGAGAGTTCTCCTCTGGCCTCCTGAGTGCCTACTGTCGTGCGCGAGGCATCCGTCAGACCTTCACGCTTCCGGACTCACCGCAGCAGAATGGGATTGCTGAGCGCCGCATTGGCATGGTCATGGACGTAGCTCGTACGTCCATGATGCATGCGGCTGCTCCCCATTTTCTGTGGCCGTTTGCGGTCAGGTACGCTGCGCACCAGATCAACCTCCACCCCAGGGTCTCTCGACCGGAGACCTCCCCAGCTCTGCTGTGGACTGGGAAGGTTGGCGATGCGTCGGCGTTCCGAGTCTGGGGATCTCGGGCGTTTGTTCGCGACCTGTCTGCGGACAAGCTGTCCTGCGTCTTCCTGGGGTTCCCCCCCGACGCCCCTGGGTGGCAGTTCTACCACCCCACCTCTCGACGTGTTCTGTCCTCCCAGGACGTCACGTTCGACGAGTCGGTACCCTACTACCGCCTCTTCCCCTACCGCACTCCGTCCCTCCCCCCGCCCCCGCTCTTCTTGGTACCTGGTCCCCCCGCGGTAGACCCCCTCCCCCCTCAGGGTCCTGCCCCTTCAGGTGTGTCCCAGGTAGACGCGGTCGAGCCTGTCGAGGTCACTGGTGACTCTGGTGCTGCTGCGGGAGCTGTGCCTGGAGGTGCCGAGTCTGGGGGTGCTGAGCCTGGAGGTGCTGTGCCTGGGGGTGCTGAGCCTGGAGGTGCCAAGTCTGGGGGTGCTGTGCCTGGGGGTGCTGTGCCTGGGGGTGCTGAGCCTGGGGGTGCTGAGCCTGGGGGTGCTGTGTCTAGGGGTGCTGAGCCTGGAGGTGCTGTGCCTGGGGGTGCTTCGTCTCGCCGAGAGCCACTCTCCCCACAGGAGCTGCGTGAGTGGTTTGCCGGGCGCTGGAGGCGTGCTGCTGGTGCAGAGGGTACTGCTGCTGTGCGCCCCGCCGGCGCTCGTACTGTGGGTGCTGGAGCTGCTGAGTCTGAGCGTTCTCCTGGAGCTGGTCCTGCTGAGGGTGTTGGCGCTGAGCCTGCCGTTGGCGGCACGACTGACAGTGCTCCTAGTGCTGCGGCTGGAGGTTCTGGAGCTTCTGGTGGTGCTGCTGGAGGTGCTGCTGGAGTGGGTGTTCCTGCCGGGGCTGTTGGTGCTGTTCCTGCTGTTTCTAGCGTCGCCGCGCGGCCCCGACCGTACTTTGTTCCGCTCCTGCAGCAGGTTCTTGGTCTTACACCTCCTCCTCCTCCCTTAGAGGGTCCGCAGCCTGTCCGGTCACAGCCACAGCTACAGCCTGCCTCCCCTTTGCCTGCTCCTTCTCCCTACGCTGGTCCGACTGGAGGTCTTACTGAGCGTCGTGAGCCTGCGTCTCGTCCTGTGTCGCCTGTTCGTACTGAGCGCGCTAGTGGTCGCGGGTCGCGTCAGCGTCCTCCTCCTGTCCCTGGCACGCACCGGATGTCACTGCGTCCGTCCACTGCTCCTCTGCGTGCCCCTTTGCCTTCTCCTCCTGCTTCCTCTCTTCCTGCTCTTGCCGACCCGGAGTCGGACGCTCTTCGTGCTGCCAGTCCTACTGTCACGCGTCTCCTGGCTACTGCTGTCACTGACCCCTCCTTCGAGTCGTCTGCTGCGTCTGCCCTTGTCACTGAGCTTGTCGACTTTGCTGCGCGCTGTCGTCTAGACTACGCTGCTCGTCTTGTCACTGAGTCTGAGTCCGCCTGTCCTCCGTCCGTCAGGGGTGAGTGTGCCCTTGGCACGGACGTCCTTGAGGACAGGCAGGAGGAGTTCCAGTGTCTGGCCGCCGCTTCACCTCGTCTCGCGTCTGTACTGCTAGCCCCTGAGGGAGACCCGGATGCACCAGACATCCCGACTCCGCGCTCTTACGCGGAGGCGATAGAGGGTCCCTACTCCTCTCAGTGGCAGGCAGCTATGGATGCAGAGATGGCTTCCTGGAAGTCCACAGGCACCTACGTTGACGCTGTTCCCCCTCCTGGGGCGAACATCGTCAGTGGCATGTGGATTTTCAGGGTGAAGCGGCCGCCGGGTTCTCCGCCTGTCTTCAAGGCGCGTTACGTGGCTCGTGGCTTCAGTCAGCGGCAGGGGGTTGACTACTTTCAGACCTTCTCCCCCACCCCGAAGATGACCACTCTTCGGGTTCTGCTACACGTTGCTGCTCACCGTGACTACGAGCTGCACTCTCTCGACTTCAGCACAGCTTTCTTGCAGGGCAGCCTGCACGAGGAGATCTGGCTGCGTCGCCCACCTGGCTTCACTGGGTCCTTCCCTCCTGGTACCCAGTGGAGTCTCCGGTGTCCAGTCTACGGTCTCCGCCAGGCGCCACGTGAGTGGCACGACACACTGAGGACTACGCTCGCGGCACTTGGGTTTGCTCCTTCCACTGCCGACCCGTCGCTGTTTCTGCGCACAGACACCTCTCTGCCGCCGTTCTACATCCTCGTGTACGTCGACGACTTGGTCTTTGCCACAGCTGACACTGCTGGACTCGCCTACGTGAAGTCCGAGCTGCAGAAGAGACACACGTGCACTGACCTGGGTGAACTGCGCAGCTACCTTGGCTTGCAGATCACCCGGGACAGAGCACGCCGCACCATTACCCTGAC